AGAAGCACAAAAAGAAGCTTGTTTGCCAACAAGTATGTTTTCAGTTTTGCACTGTCTTGTTAGCAGTGTTATTTTGAGTCTAGAAGCAAAGGGTTCCTCATTTTTACTTATATTATTGATTCCAAGTGCCTTTTGAAAAAATTTCACAATGTTACAATGTCTGTAGTTTGTTCAAATGTCTTCCAGAAGAATTTCTAATGCAGTTAAGCTTGCTTCCCTTTTTCATTTTTAGTTGTAATAGTGTAGTAAAAAAAATACCATTTAAAATAAATGTAGGCCTGAAAAATTATCTGAAATTTTTTAATGAAGTACTGTCCTATACCTAACTTGGTTTGTCCCCCCCTCCTTCTGAATTGTGAGCCGCCCTGAGTCCCCCAGGGAAAAGGGCGGCATACAAATATATCAAATACCAAATACCAAATATGCTTGTCCCAGATCAGACTATTAATTGTTAATACTTGATGAACAACTGGCATATTTATGTATTTCATCTATATTGATTTATTCCTCAAATATTGTATATGACTCTAGGCAACTAACAATTAAAAATAAGAAGTAAATTATAAATAACATGAATAGCATCAGGAGCCACTGATCTGCAACACTAAAAATCATCCCAGTTAATACAGCCAAGAAATGGGCTCACCCACACTACCAGTGCCTCAGTGCCTGTTGGCAAAAGCAGGTCTTTAAGGCCTTGCATAAAGCCAGAGGATTGGGGTGAGTCTGAAGGCAGATACCAAACAGAAAAGGCTCTCTGTCTTAAACTGCATTTGTTGTATTATTGTTGACACCTACAAATGTCCGTTAGCAGATGCTGACTGGACATCTGATTCTAAATTTTGTTTAATATTCCAGACTGAGATATCTTTGTCTCTTAAACCTTTGTATTTTAAACTTTTAAAGATATATAGCATTTTAAAAAAAATGGTGCTTTTATTCCAGGAGCTCACACAGTATACATAGCATATCTTCCTATTCCTTCTCCATAAACATGAGTAGCTTACAGTGAGATAGCTCAGAAATACCAGCAACCAGCTAGCTGCCCTGTCTTAAGCATGACTTGAATGTAGGTCTTCATAGTCCCAGTTTAACTACATCCTCATGGCTATCACATTGATAACAAAATGACATATGGTTTTGCTTACGACAAAAACAGATGGAAGGGATGTTGTCCAAAGATGATTTATTGGAATTTGTCAAGTTTTAATCTCCTTCAAATCATACCTTCTCCATAAGAAACCATCTGACAAATATAAATGCTTTTTAAATATTTTTAAGTAGCTGAAATGCTTTATAAGAACTCTACCTAGAGCGGATTCATCTCCTGTGGTCAGAATAGCCTCTTTTATCTGTCACCTTTGTGTGGGTGTGAGCTGATTAGATTTGTGTATTTTTTTAAATTTGAACTGTTTTTAATTATAAAATTAAATTTTACACATAAGATTAATCTCTGTTACATCACTTGTATCAGGAACAAGTAATTTGCTCTGACTTTTTTTTTAAAAAAATACGATTTGTCTTTTTCCTAGAGAAGATTTCCCCCCCCCCCCCAATTCTCTGGAATCCTGCTGTTTGAAAGTGAGGAGAACAGTCAGTGCCTTTCTTGTTTCAGACCTGACGACTATAAACTGAGCCATACTGTCTGGTTGACCCATTGCCAGTATGGGACAGGAACCCCTTTCTGAAGTCAGAAATGGATGCCAACCTTTATTCTCCTTCCTCTCATCATGAATCCAATCTCCATATACATTTCGTGACCCGTCAAAACCGCGGTCCACAAAAGCGCAATCGACGAAAGCGCGCATTTGACGTCATCACAGCGCGACGAAAAAAATTAAAAATTGAAATAAAAATAAAATTAAAGCAAGCCGATTCACATAAAGGTAAGGGTTAGGGTTAGGTTAAGGGTTAGGTTAAGGGTTAGGGTTAGGTTTAGAGCGTTAGGGTTACGTTTAGCGTTAGGTTAAGGGTTAGTGTTAGGTTTAGCGTTAGGTTAACGGTTAGGTTTAGGGTTAGATTTAGGGTTAGGTTAAGGGTTAGGGTTAGGTTTAGGGTTAGGTTTGGGGGGGTTAGGGTAAGGTTTTCGCTTTATTTTTACATTTTTCGATCACAGCGCGATGTTTTCGTCATGCTGTGATGACGTCAAATGCGCGCTTTCGTCCACCGCGATTTTGTCGTCCGCAGTTTTGTGGTGGAACCATACATTTTACTGTTACAGTTTGAAAAAAGGCACTTATTTTTAATACAATAATACAATAGCAGAGTTGGAAGGGACCTTGGAGGTCTTCTTGTCCAACCTCCTGCCTAGGCAGAAACCCTATATATTTCAGACAGATGGCTATCCAACATCTTCTTAAAGACTTCCAGTGTTGGGGCTTTCACAACTCTGGGGCAAGCTGTTCCACTGATTGATTGTTTTAACTGTCAGGAAATTTCTCCTCAGTTCTAAGTTGCTTCTATCCTTGATTATTTTCCACCCATTGCTTCTTGTTCTACCCTCAGGTGCCTTGGAGAATAGTTTGACTCCCTCTTCTTAGCAACCCCTGAGATATTGGAACACTGCTATTATGTCTCCCCTAGTCCTTCTTTTCATTAAACTAGACGTACCCAGTTCCTGCAACCATTCTTCATATGTTTTAGCCTCCAGTCCCCTAATCATCTTTGTTGCTCTTCTCTGCACTCTTTCTAGAGGTTCCACATCTTTTTACATCATGGTGACCAAAACTGAATGCAGTATTCTAAGTGTGGTCTTAGCAAGGCATTATGAAGTGGTATTAACACTTCATGTGATCTTGATTCACATGAAGTTACCTTATCTTACCTATGCTTGTCCATTTTAACAGTTGACTGGCATGTTCAATTCTACTTACAGATAAAAAGCATTAGATTTCAGGATGACCAACATTGGCAGTTGCAAAAGAAATAGAATGAATTAGGTTGATGTACTAAACAATCGTATAGTTGTTTAGTTTTGGCCTACCATATATTTCATGTCAACCATTATGGTAAGCTGGTCATGGTTTAAGCTTAGCATGTTAATACCTAGGTCACTGCATATTTCATTAAATAGGAAATTATAAGCAGGAGATAAATGTAGTACTTTATTCATTGCAGAGAGGCACTGAAAAGTAAATTATATTAGTAACAATAGATTGCCAGCGAATACCGCTCAGAAGAGAGCAGTTGCCTGGCACCCCTTGCCATGTAGTGCCCATCAAGTGGACAACCCCTCTCGGTAGCTGGGCAGAGCACCACTTACCAACCAAGCAGTATCCCGAAGGCCCCAAGCCACACAAGGGCCTGTCCCCCCCTACTCGCCCACCTTCCAGTCCTCACCACATTGATGTGGATGAAGCTGGTGAGCACCAGGTCCTTCAGGAGCTCGCAGCCAATGCTGTGGGCACACACCACCAGCATCCACATGGAAGCCACAGCCTGGGCCAGCTCCCCCTGCAGGGCCATGGCTGCCGCCACCTCCATCCCAGCACTGATTATGGCTTCCTCTGCGGCTTCCAAATCCCAGTGGAAGCCGCTGGAAACAGAGAAAAAGTTGGTTGGGCCAGCCGCCTGCTGCCAAGTCTTCTGGGAGCTGGGGCAGAACCATAGAGTGGGAAGCAGATTACCAGAGCAGCCACTGCCAAAGACTCTCTCTGCTTCCAGCAGCTTCCAGCCAGGGTTTGTCCTTAGTACTGGGATGGCGGCAGCCCTGGCCCTGCAGGAGGAGATCGCCCAGGTTGTGGCTTCCATGCAGGTGTTGGTGGTGCGTGCACATCACTAGCTTCGCCCACATCGACCTGGTGAGGACTGGGAAGTGCGCAAGCAGTGGGGACTAGTGCTTGTGTGGCTTTGCGCCTTTGAGATACTGCTCGGTCAGTGAGTGGTGCTTTGCCCGGATGGAGAGGGGGAGGTTGTCTGCTGGGTGGGCACTACATGACACATTGTGGTTGTGCTCTTGTAAGCAGGATGGGAGTTTGTAGGCGAGGGGGATGGATAGATGGATGGGAGGTAGGTGAGCGCTAAGAACACTGGAGACAGAATGAAAGGCAGCTCCCGATCAACTCAGCTGATCCATGTGTCACAATTAAGGGGCCCGGCTGTCATTAGATGACCAGGGAAGGGAAGGGCTGTCTCCTGTGCTGGGCACACCCACCCCTTCACTAGGGCTTATTTTGGGGAGAGGCTACATATTTAGGCCCACCCCAAAAATCAGACTTGGCCTTATTTTCGGGACGTGTCATATTTTGGGGAAAACATGTTATTCATAATAAATTCTACAGTGCATTTTGAGGGCATTACTGATCTTTCTTCTGAAGTTATCAATCTTTTTACAATTTACCCATCTAAACATGGAATGTATTTGGCTTCCATACCATTTGCAGTTCAAAAGGCGTTAAAGGGCATATACATTTAATAAATAAATAAAATAGTTATTAAAAGATGATCTTATTTCTTTTGTTTACTAAGAAAATATTTATATACATTCATGAATTATTAATTTGATATCTTCACTTCATCAACTTTGTATAATGTCTTTCCCAAGAACAGAAAGGATGGAAGAATACTGTAAAGGAAATAAAGCACATAGTAAAGGAAATCCCTGGTATTTCCTTAGCAGCATCACTGGGAGAAATGCAAGATAGTAATATTAAAAGCAAAATAATTTTGTTGGAAACAAGTAGGAGGAGAATTTTAAGAGACAAATTGGAACAAATAATTCATATAGAATTAATACTATGTAATGTATTTTCTATTGAACAAAGGGGAGTCCAACCTCAGCCATGGAAGCTCAGTGAATGACCTGGGGCCACACTTTATCTCAGCCTACTTCATAGGCTGGTTGTGGGAAGAAAACCGGAAAAGAGTATTATATATATCACTCTGTGCTTTTTATACCATTTCTTTTTAAGTGGGGGAAGGGGGAGAGAGAGAATTCCACAACTTAAATTGTGTCCTTTGGCTTTATTTATCTAATTTCTAACATTGATTATAATTTGCAGCTCTAATCAGTCCTCGAGAAATGAATCAACCTGATCCAGTAGAAGAGGGACTTCGATCACAAATTGAACAGAAAAAAATAAGGTGCTCTTAGCTTGATTATTATATATGTTAAAAACTTAATTGTATGAATGTTTCTTGTATACAGTAAGTTGGTAATATGTACATTTCATATACTGTATGCTGTTAAGTTAGCTTAATACCTGTCTATATACATGGACCTTATTTCAGCAATGGGAAAACATAGATTTAGCTAGATTGTCAATCTATTGAAAAAAGATATTAAATGTTCTCTTGTCCCATAATTAGCTAAAGTCCCTTTTCAAGAAGAGCTTCCCCAAACCTTGGTGCCAATTGGTTGCTTTGGGTCTTTTGCTAAACTGGTACACAGAAATAGTGGGAAACTGGCAAGAGAACAGCTGAACATTGTTCTAAAGGCAAAGACCAAATGTAGTTCAAGGTCAGAGAAGATGAGAAAATCAAAAGCAGTAGGGTGAGACAGAAATCAAAGAACTATAGAGAAGATCACAGTCAGGCAACCTGTTCTATACAACGGAATAAGCTTGAGTTCTCAGAGCCCTTCTCCAGATTTAGGGACAATTTCTGAGAATAGACTTGGAGAGCTTATCAAAAGGCTCTAATTCATAAACATTTATTCATTTATTCAGTGAGAATTTGGCCACTTTGATGGGCATTTCTTTCACAGACAAGTAAGTTGCTAATATTTGGGGAAAGAGTTTTCTATTCATATCCTACATGATAAGTTTAGCAGACTTTATATATTTTTTTACAAATAAAGAATAAACAAGAGAGAAATACCCAACAAGGAATAAATCAATTTCCTAACTTGCAATGTGTGACCAGGTAGCAAATGGTGAGAGATATCCAGTTCAGTTCTACATTACAGCTTTTTAGTTGCAACAGATTTGTTGCATCTTCCGTAGTAACATTTTCTTTTCCATTTTGCAGTTATAAAACAATGTTTACTCACTTGAAGGGGCTGAAGATAGAGATTGAACACTTGCAGCTCCTCATGGAAAAAGCAAAAGTGAAGTTGCAAAAAGATTTTGAAGCTTGGTGGTCTGAGGAAACAAAAAGCTTGCAGGTAGATGTCTTTATTTTCACTTTCAGAATAACTTTTACATTTGTCAGCTGAAAACAAGATTGGGATATCTGAGTTTGATAAAGCATTGAATGCAGACTCTGTTTCCTTAACTTGACACAAAGGCAGTAATCATTCCACTTCTTCTAATAAAGCATTCTAACTTCCCAGATCTTAAACTGTGTAAAATTCTAGGCCTCTGAGTGACTAATCATCTAATCAACCAAACTATGAGAAAGTTTGAAGCTTGAGTTTGCCATTTCAGTGCATCAAGATATAGTAATATAACGAGAGACATAATATGCATAAAATTGTGTGGAAAGTTAGAGTTCAAAGTAAGGATGTCGATATTTAGATTTCAACATTAATGACATGAGAGCTAGCCTGTGGTTCATTCCTTATCCTATGGTTTCCTTAGAGCCAAGAAGAAACTTCACTTTTGCAGAATTCAACCAGTGTTCTAAAGACTCTTCCCTTGTTTTTTGAAAATCAGCTATATCCAGGTACTCTCAGGTAAGATGGTTATCTTTCTGCATGTATGTCTTCTGATATTTCTGCTTTTCTGAGTGAACAGAATAGGTAAAATGATATATCAATTTTATATGGCCATTTTGTGACTCAAGTATATAAGTGTTCCATACAATGAATCCATGTTGTGAATTCAATAAGAGTAGAATCATAGAGCTTGAAGATGTCTGCAGTATAAGATGTAACCTGATGTTTCCTCTTCTGAAATATCTCCTGTTCCAGTACTTTATATGTGGCCTGACATAGAATAGATTGAAATTATTACCTCTTACAATCTGGATATTATTTTTCTATTAGTCCAGAATAATGATTCACTTCATTATCAGCTATATGCATTAAAAGTTCATATTCAATTATCTTATATCTGTACGTTGCCTGCTATCAAACTTGTCTTCCTTCTAGTCCTTCTTAGATTGTTTTTTTTTGTATATTATTGAAGTAGATTATATTTACCTTTGAATTTCATGTCATTGGTTTCAGGATAGTGTTTCAACTTGTCATCATAATTTCAAAATTATATTCTCCCTTCTATTTCGTAACAATTTGTTATTTATAGTTGCAATCTGGTAAATATTTCCTTTAAGATTTTTGTCCAAATAATTTTAAAATGAGCATAGGATTTATGACAAGAGGCCACTCAAGGCTTGTGTGGTATGTTCAGTTTGTTGAAGATTCAGCTGTAAATATACCTAACAGCAGTAAGGTCTGGCCCATATTTTATGAACTTATAAATAAGGATTTCATTTTATGTATTTATTAGATTTCTAAGCTGCCACAATCATATGAACCTAATCCATATATGAAAATATTATGAATTTAATAAACTGTCCACAGATTAATTATGACAGATTTTAAAGAAAAATTAAAACCAATCTATTTGAAACAATGGAAACATTCCTATAACATTCTTTCAGCTAATTAAAAAGAAGACCTCTGCTTCACTTGCTTCCATAAGTCAAAAACTGTTAGGGCTAATGTAGTTTTTTGGGAAAGGTTGTTTCATAATATAGGAATCATCATAAAGACTTCCATCTAGCTTCAGTTTTCTCGACTTCATGGTAATAGGGAAATAGAAGCAATTTTCCCCAAATCTTATTAGGTCAACCATTTTTCCATGTAGAAGGCTGTCTTGAAGATACTTTTAAGTGTGCTATACCATACAGGGCTTCTACCCCAAAACCAGTTCTCTACATTGCACATAGAGCTTATGGTAAGCCAATGTAGGGCCTGCAGCTCAGATATAAAGTAATGCCTGGGCTGTTGCATTTTGAACGAACTGAAGTTTTTGAGTAGTCTATAAAACACCCACAAGTATTTAAATTGTCCATTTCATATATGTAAAGTGGCTTTAGTGTAAGCGATGGGAGAAAGGAAGGGAGAAACTATTGTTTTTTGGAAACTGAAATATAGTAGTTAGCACTATCCAATCAATACTCAGTGGTTAGTGGCTGTTAGCCATTGCTGAATGTTATTTCTGACCACATTTTCTGCAGCAGTGCTACCATTCTTTCTCTTACTTTTGTATCAGCTTTCTCAGTTTTTGTGATGCACGGTGCTCAGCATATTAATAAATACATTCTGGTATTCTGTGGTTTTGATGTTACGTGCTGTTATCTGAGGATTATAAACATAATTTGTAAAACTCCTAGAACTCTGAATTGCACAATTCAATGGTGGATTCTTAATCAATTTACTACCAGTTTGCTTGTGCTCATGCATGTGCAATGCTTCTGTACATGCACAGAAGCAGGAGGGCAGAGCCTCCCACCACCACTACTACTGGTTCGGCCGAACCGGCCCAAACCAGGAGCAACCCACCTCTGGTACAATTGAAACATATTATCAATTAATTTTGTAGGCCTTAATAAATAATGTCAACATAAGCTGGTCTGTAAGTTTCCTAATGTCAATTTTTTAGTGACTGTTACATCATCTTTCCACTCCTTCATTTTTTTAAAGATAATAATAATAATAATCAAGATCATTTGTGCTACATTTACTTTTATATTTGGTCATAGTAAAAAAAAAAGTATAATTTTATTTGCATTAAATGTTTCTAATTAGCACAATCTTAAAGTAAATTCTTCCAAAATAATTCTCAGGAAGTATAATACAGCCTTCTAAGAAGTGCATGTGCATATAAAGCAAAAAGTGTCCCCTTCTACATATTTACAGTAAATCCTTAATGAAGGAGTTCATCATATACTGGGAGCATCTATGTAAACAAGAAAAATCAAAAACTGTTTTTAGTGATTAAGTAATCACTAAGTGATACAGTAGTGATTACTGCTGTTAAAGTATGTAGATCAATATATTTTATGGACTTCATCCCAGTCTTGAACCAGTTCAAGTGACTTTTTTGATATTATAATTGTATGGAATGTCTAGAGATTAGGTACTAATTGACATACATATTTTTATGACTCTAGTTTAAATATATGGAGCAAGCAACACTTACTTTGGCAAATGCATTCATGGCTAGGTATTTTTGTTGTTGATTTTAGTCCTCATTTTTGGCTGCTATGTCCCTTAGAGGTTATGCTTATGATGCATGTTGAAGATAAGAATCCAGGACCATGAATCAAATGGGAGATTTTGAGAGAGGCAGACTTGGAGTTCTGTTTTTATTTGCAGACATATGATATCCATGTTGTTACACTTGTAATGACCTTTTTAAGTTTTCTATGAACGCTTTCAGATATTTCAAGCATTTTTGTATTATTCTGTGTTATGCCTTGTGCCCAATTTTGCAGTTATGTTCTCAATGAGACAAGCAAAGAATTTGTAATGGAGCTCTTGACATTGTGATAGAGAACAGCAACTTATATCCCACTGTGCTGAAAATTTATTCTAAACCTCTTGAAGCCTGTTTGAAGCATTAACAATTCATAGCAAGGTTTCTGGTTTCCTACATTTAAGGATATAAAATAACAAAACACCCACTTCCTAAAGAGTCCGTTGAATCTCAGTGACACAGTGAACTTATTTATTCATTCTCATAGTTACATATGATGAGATCTTTGGGCTTTTTATTTTTCTTCAAATCCTTGGACTAAACACAAAAAGCTCTTTGTTGCTAAATCCATCCAGAAGCAAACTTACTCAATGAACAGGATTTAACCATAATTTTCTATCTGTCAAATAAATTGTAATAGTAAAAATTTACACGAAGCATATGGTATGTAACAGTTACTGTCATTCAATATTTAGTTGAAGGAATTTAGATATCAGAAGAAAATATAAAAGTAGGCCTGATGTAAAAGCCATATGAATATACCTCTACCACTGAAACAAGGATAACGTAACTTTTTATGATAATTTAGTCTGTAAACACTTGTACTTAATCTCTTTTCATCACTCTGAGATATAGAAGATGCTTCAGTGCCTATTACAAACTATGATATATAAGCAAATGGTGACACTTTTAAATATTCTGAAATGTACATACTGTAGTATTTGTAGTATTTAATTTGATGTGTACACAGGTGTTGGCATCTGACAATAATAATGGTACTCAAGGATTATAGTCACTATAGATTTTTAAAATTATCTTTCCCTTATATTTTAAAAATCTTCCTAACTGTTGAAAGCTAAGTCTACATTCGTATGAGTGAAATCCAGTAGAAATATCTAGGTATGTAATTGAAAAGTAAATTTGGTGTTTTAGGGCCAATCTGTCAGCATGAATCAGGAGTGGGTTCTGGATGGCTTTACTGCTGTTTCGCTCATGTGCGCACTTTGCGCACACATGCACTGTTCAATTAAAATTGTTCTGTGCATGTGCAGAACTTAAATATAAGATGGTGGCGCCGACAGTGCCAACCGGAGAACTAGTTTAAGGGCATGGCAGGCCTGGGTCACTGCCGGTTCCAGCAACCCAGGCTGCCATACCACTACTGGTTCGTCCAAACCGGGCTGAATTGGTAGGAACCCACCTCTGGTATGAATGTATTTTTATGTCTGATGATGCATTGTTTTCAGGGCTTCTTTCAGATCTCCCAGTGAAGCCCACTGATATTCAAACCCAAAAATTTGCCCTTTATATGATGGTCAAGAAAAGGTAAATATATTGGGCCGATCTTATCCATGATGCATCTGACTCACCATCAGAGGGATTATATCAGTCTCTCCAATAAAAAGCAGTCAATGTGTTCCTTGTTATGAACTTGGAGCTTAGTGCTTTGAATTCTCAGACCAGAGCATCAGGGCAATAAAGCAGAGCTGCACCTGTTCTATTTTTATGATCAACTCTGAAAATGAAGTACCATGACTAGCACACACTGGCCAGCTATGCTACCAGTTTTCCTCAGGTAGCAATAGCAATAGCACTTAGACTTATACCAATAATTCTCGACTTACAACAGTTCATTTAGTGACTGTTCAAAGTTACAATGGCACTGAAAAAAGTAACATGACTGTTTTTCATAGCTACCACCTTTGCAGCATCTCATGGTCACATGATCAAAATTCAGTTGCTTGGCAACTGGTTCCTATTTTTGACCGCTGCTGTGTCCCAAGGTCCTGTGATCACCTTTTGTGATCTTCTGACAAGCAAAGTCAATGGGGAATCCAGATTCACTTAACATCTGGGTTACTAACAGCTACAGTGATTCATTTAACAAATGTGGCAAGAAAAGTTGTAAAATGGGACAAAACTCACTTAACAAATTTCTCACTTAGCAACATAAATTCTGGGCTCAATTGTGGCTGAAAACTGAGGACTACCTGTATACCTCTTCATAGTGCTTTACAGCACTCCCTATGCTGTTTACAGAGTCAGCATATTGCCCCCAACAGTCTGGGTCTCATTTTACCAATCTTAGAGGGATAGAAGTCTGAGTCAACTTTAAGCCCATCAGCAGCAAACTCCTTGACAGTGAGCTGAATTAGCCTGCAATACTGCATTCTAAGCACTGTGCCACCACAGACAGCTCCTTTTGGAAGATGCACCAAGATGGCCCTAAACTCCAGGTATTACAATACCT